CCCATAAAAATTACAGTAGATAGAGAACAGAAGCAGAGAAATAACAAGAAGACAAAGAAAAGCCAATAAACCAAAAAAACAAATTAAGGAGTGAATACTTTTTTTTCTTCCATCAATATATTTGAGTAAGTAATTACTTTTTTTTGGATTTATTTTTGTGTTTATTATCATTTATTTATGTGATAGAATATTTGTTTACTATTTAAATTTTTAATATTGTCAAAATAATTTGATTTGGGGCTTAATTTATAATTTATTTATATTTATATTTTTATATTATAAGTGGATTAAGGTCGAAGAATATTGTACTTTCTTAAATTAATCAGTGAAATAATTTAATTTTTATGAAATTATTTTTTATTTATAAAATTATATTATTTAATTAAAATTCAAAATACATAATAAACTATGCATGTTGATTTTGTTTGCATAATTACATTTCAATATCTAATATAAACTATAATATTATCTTCTTATTTCTTAGAAATTATATAAACTAAATTATCTAATTTAATTAATTGAGAAAAAATATCTTATTAAAAAAAAATCAATTTTAAATGAATCATTCGAAATCAATAATAGAGACAACATTTTACAAACAAATTCATGCTTAATTAGATTTAGATGATTTTCATCGGATCCAAAGTTATGAAAAAAAAAATTTAGACTATCATCTCGATAAAATAGATAATGTTTGAAAAGTTTATTTTCACATTGAGAAACCTATAAAAAATAATTATAATGTGTTATCTTTGTATATAAACAAAATGATTTTTTATGCATTTGAGTTCATTATATTTTTATAATTTTATAGTTAATATTATTTATATTAATTATCTCCACTGAACGTAAATTTTAAATTCGTCCCTGCCAACTATGGTTGTCTTGAGAGGTTATTTGATCTGATAGGCAATAGTTGTGGTAGTAAAATGATGAAATTGCTTTGTGTCCTGAAATTGAACTTCACTTATATCATCCAGACTAGTATAATTAACTGTTCCATCATCTTTCTAATCGGTAAAAATCCGTACACTTGTTCTTGATTTTTTTAAGGTGTTCTTATGATTTATTTTGCGGGCAATGCTTGGAATCCAATGAAGCATGGACTCGGACATGTTTACGACAAGATACGGATATGGCAACATCATGACAATTTCTAAAAAATAAGAACAGGAATACAGCAAGACACGATAATAAAAAATATATTTTATATATTATAGTCATCAGTTAAGAATATATGATAGATATTGGGCTGATTTTTAAAAAACAATTACCTTTTGTAAAGAAAAACTAATGTAAATATGGCAATAAAAGAACATAGGATGTCGTTACCCGCATGACAATTTTCCAACATGTTCTGTATGTATGTCGGAAGCGTTAAAGTGTCAAGAACACGAATACAACAAGGGTACGCAGGAAGTTCAAACGTAAGAGGTACAAAATATTACCTTGTATATTTAGAAGCTTGAGTGCTTCCTGTGTTTCCTCTGAATTTATTTTATGTTCACTTGATAAAAGTGATATGTTTCGGCTCACACGCATTCGGTTAATAAAAATGATATATTTCCGTTCACGGGCATTCGGATAGGTTGCATGATTTGTGAGACAACATAACTTTCCAGCATTTAAATATTTATGGTGTCTTTTTGTTTCAAGTTTTGATACTCAAGGACATTTTAGAACCCAGTTCTGTACTGAAACAGAATGTGAACATGGAAAATAAAGAAAGAAAATGAAAATTACCAACAGAAAACAAAAGTTCTGATACAATGGGAAAATTTTTAAGCTTGTAAGGGATGGTTTTCCTCCGTAAGAGCATGATACATGCTAGAATTGTGATCCACTGTAGCCAGTTGACAAATACTGATATCCCCAGTTCAGTTGTTTGAACGTAGCAATAACTATGGGTTGCATAAAAAATTCAAGCTCCAAAAATTGCCTAAAATAAGCTCTGATGTTTTTTGCGTTCATTTTGAAGGAAGTATTATGCAGGGTTTGCATAATATATTAGACAGTTATTGGAGTAGCATACTGATTCAATTTAGACTCCTTTGGAAACAGGCCTTTTTCGCAAGCTCCTTTCACATGAAATTGAGCTGAAATTCTGCAGAATAAATTGAGAATAGTTATTATAAGCTTCTTGTGTTCTTTTTTGTCAAGACAGGACATACCCCTGATTTGATGATTGAAATGAGCTCCTCAAACCAATACTTGAGCTCAGCAGCTGAAGCACTTTGTCTCCATCAACGTAGATGTTTCTTTATGCGGAGCCAGAATAATAATAAAGATCTAAGAAGCATATCAAAATGTTTAGTCACTATTATAAATAGTTAAAACTTCATACATAAAGGCAAACAGTTTTCAAAGCAAGTATAAAAGAAAACCACATGAAGCTGTGTTGCTTTACATTGTTTATCATACAACCTCAGATTCTTCAAAAGCTCAATCCAGGCAAAGATTTTAACTCGTAGCTCCACCAATCTGAAAGAAACGATCATCGAAAAAACAAAGGCTGCTGATCAATGCTTTAAGGAAAGGATATTTTATGCATCAATATGAAGAATTGAGCTACAGTGGAATGAAACTTCCAAACATTATTGCACAACAGAACAATATTACAAAGAATTTTAACTTTTACATTTAGAATATCAATTTGGCCTTTACAGAAGGTCTCAGCTCAGCCAATTTTACCTCCTTGATAAAGTTCTTACCCTATCTCATCATTTATGCTTGCACCCCTGACACGGAGGAGGAAAGATTTCTGTTGTAGGAAAGGAGCTGCTGCACTAACAACTTCGAAACCACCAATGGATTGAAGTTATTTCGTCCTGTCAGACTAGTTGCACAACAACAGATTTTTGTTTAGAAGCATTTGGGATAAAAATGGAAGTACCAAAAAAGGGGAGAAAAAAAAAAAGCGAAAGGAATCCTAGCAAGGCTGGAAGTTTTCATTATGCTAAGTATCATGATTTCTTATAATTTATGGTTTCTGATCATAAACATGGAATCTATATACTCAAGAGTATGATACATGGATTATGGATGGTGGAACATGATTCAAGGATATGAAATGTTCAAGGCACTAATTGCTGGTTCTGGAGGAGCACCTTTTTCAGATTAAAAGACAAAAATATTGTACATAAAACATAAAGTACAAATGATTTTCCTTTGCTATAAAAGGAGAACGTTTTAAAAAGATTTCAGAACCCTGGAAATAAGTAATAACTAAGTAATAACTTACCACTTTCATAGGAAACAATGTTTCCCTTGGGGAATTTTTGCGCCACTGACACTGTCCTCACTCACAAGTCTGGCAATAAATCTTTAATATCTCATCATTTATAACAAATTGAGTTCTCAATGGGATTGAGGCAGAGATTTTGGTACTGACTCATTCAGGCGGCCATATGGTCAATTTGACAGCAGTGAAGGCAATCCATACTTCTGCTAAGTAAACAGCATTCATCTTTTTCAGGTCTTTCCATCTGCTTTTGCAAACCACTTTGTGTGCTCCTATAAAGGCACTACTCACTGGCCTCTGCAACTTCCAACTGACTGAAACTAAAATTAGATATCAAATTAATCTTCACGCATATAAGAACATAACAAGCATTTAATAATTGAAACCATTCTTGAATGATTCTGCAAAAAAAATCAGATGTCAATGAGACAAAATGATTAATAGATATAAACATTTAACATATCTGTTCTGCTCTTGAAATTGTCCCTCTACTATATTTAGTCCAATTTTAATTTTAATGAATTTCTATTTTTATTAAACATGGTTTTTTTTTATATATATATATTTTCCATTTCAATGTAAAACAAAAAGCTGTGTGTATAAGGGATTGAACTAATGAACCTTTAATTATGGAATCGAAAAAACAATAATCATGAAAATAAATCACTTGAGCACTTTATTTAATAGTACGTTAAAGTTCTTCAAATAAGTATCATATAATTGCAAAGTGACATGTACCTTATTTCTTGGCGTTCCTTCCGTTAACAAATTAACATGAAGCTGCTTCAAACTTCAATGTAAGGTATGTGGGCTATGTTAAGAAACAAGTATTAATTCCAATGTAAGGTATGTGGGCTATTTTGGGCCACTCTTGACCTCCATCTTTCTTGCATCGTTCTTCTAGCAATGGACATCTAGAAATTTCGAGTTGCAAAAGTGAGTCAAACATCTCCTTTTCCGGAAGGAATTTGAGCTTGGGACAACTATGGATGCCCAATGATTCAAGAGACTTGAGATTTTGAAAGCCCTTGGAGGATAGAGTTTCTAGGTTTGGAAAACCGCAGATGGTGAGGGAGGTGAGAGTGCGGGGCAGAAGCATTTCCTCACATGGGAATGACACCACATCTAGAGAAGCACCGTCGATGGACAAATGTTTAAGGGAGGTTAGTTTGTGCAAACCCCACTCGATCACTGATTTGCAAATATTGGGTTGCCAGATTTGAAGTGCAGTGAGATTGGGAGGGAACCCCTCTTGTGGAAATTATATCACACTTGGACACTCAAATATGAACAATTCTCGCATAGAGACGATGTTGTGGATGCAGTTGGGTAAGGCCTGGAGTTTTTCACACCCAGAAAGATGAAGCTTTCTGAGTTTGGTGGTTAATAACACACTTCCTGGGAATGAAATCAAACTCGAACAACGCCCAATAAGAATCTCCCCAAGATGGTTGAGCTTGTTTAATCCACGAGGCAAAGAATTCAAATGATCGCAACCGTCGATAGTTATCAATTCAAGGGAAGAGTTCTGTTCAATATCTTGAGCTATGGACTCTAGTGCTGGGCAATAATTAATCCGGAGGGATTTAAGCCCCATGGGTAACTTGCCATTGGCTGACAAGGATGTCAACTTTTCACAAGAATAAATGTCAACATGTTGAAGACTAACAGGTAACTCGCCCCTTGAGGATAAAGATATCAGAGACTTGCAACCTCCAATTACCAAGTGCTCTAGAAGACGCGTGCAGTAGATGTTGTTGTTTACTCCATCCAGCAATTACAGCAAATTCTCACACAGCATAATGGTTAAACGTCTTACATTTGGTGGCAAGTTTCCATTTGAAATTGAAATCAATCTTGGGCATCCTTCAATTCGTAGCTTCGTAAGGGATCTGCAGCTATGTATGCTTTCTGATAGCCTTTCTAGCCTTTCACAATATTGTATGGTCAAATGTTCAATATGACGAGGGATTCCTAATTGCATATGCTCTTCCTTCTCGTCCTCTGCACCTATGGAAACAAGTCTTGAACAATTGTGAATTTCCAAAAAGCGAAGAGGCCTCAAATGTGTTGAGAGTCTTTCCTGGTTCAGCCATGAAGAAATTAGCTCCTCATATCCACTTATAAAAAGATGTTCTACTTTTATCAACCCTAACATCATCCCCTCCATTGGAGAAGTGAATTTTGAAATGTTTGAAAGAGGGACTGTTTCCATGAATGAGCCAGAATTTGTACAATTAGTAGACACCACCTCTTGGCAACCATCAATTTTTAAGTCAGACAACTTCGGAAGGCTTGAGAGTGAAACTGCCAACTGCTCACATTGTTGAATCACAAGTTTCTCCAATGAAGGAAGACAACTAGGTAGACTTCTCAGTTGTTGACACAATTTAATCTCTAGCTTAGTCAAGGAAGGAAGACGATTAGGTAAACTTCCTAACAACTTGGGGCAATTTGAAATGATGAGCTCATGGAGGTGTTGGAAACTCCTTACATTTTCATCAACTTCACAGGGATCCCATTCCTCCCATTCTGGCATGCCATCAAAACATAATCTCTCTAGTGACGGAAATGCATTAATCGACAGATCCTTTCCAAAAAAATTAGCACCCACATTTTTTACCTTACTCATCCTCCGGATAGAAAGCGATTTTAGCGACAGTAATCTTCCAACAGCTGGTAATAATGTGCAATTTGGACAGTAATCCAGATCCAGAATCGATAGGTTTTCAAATGAAGGATCTCCAATCCAATTTGGGAATGTTTCACCTCCATAACATTCGATGGTGAGCCTTTCAAGCATTTTAGCAGGTTGGAGTGAATCCAACACGTCCTTGTGAATTTCTTCTCCTGCAAAATTATAACTCCACTTCAAACCTAAATCACGAAGGTTCGACTTACGACATAACCCAGCCACCCATGCATCTTGAGTTTTGACAACATTCTGCAATTCTGAAATAACAAGTCCACCCTTAAGATTAGACAAATTCTCCATCTCCCTTATCTTACGGCCATTGTCTTGACTCACAACAAAATTTGTCAATGTTTGAAGATTGGTTAGTTCACCGATTCCCATTGGCATCATTTTTATCGAACGTGCACCTGTAATGTCAAGATGCCTTAGGTTAATTAAAAATCTCATTTCAGAAGGAAACTCTTGAAGACGAGAACACCCCCGCAACAGCAAGGTCTCTAAATTGTAAAGCTTGCATATTGAATCCGGCAGAGTTTCGATTAGAGTGAGAGAAAAATTTAGATAACGCAGATGCACCAAATCTCCAATAATATTGGGAGACTCCGTTAGGTAGCACCCTTGTAAAGATAACACCCTCAAGTATTTAAATTCTGGCAACAACTTACTGACAACTTGATTAGAGAAATTCCACCAACCTCCAGGCATCTTCAACGGTAGGAAGGTTCTTAAACCCTTCTTTCCGTTAAAGACTTTTAAATTTTTAATTCCGTCTTTCCTGCCACCAATGTAAGATGAATGCCGAGCATGACTGGAAACGTTCAATGCCTTGTCACCCTCCACTCTGAAGCATATATCTTTGGCAACTGATTGAGCCAAATCATTAATCAGATCATACATTATAAATCGAGACTCATCCTTGTTGGATACTTCAAAAAATGACCTCCGTACAAGTTCTTGAAAGTACTCATGACCCAAATCTTCATTTTGCTTTGTAGCTTCCACTCGCAGAAAGCCTTCTGCCATCCATAATAAGACTATTTCTTCCTCGGTAAATTCATAATCTTTGGGAAGTATGGCACAGTAAGCAAAACATCGCTTTAGATCTGCAGGAAGATGATGATAGCTTAATCGTAAAGATGGAATTATGTTACTCCTCCCTTCTGGTAAATTCCAAATCTCACTTTTTAGTATCTTTCCCATTCACCGAATTCCACCTTATTGCGCAAAAGGCCTCCAATGGTCTTAGCTGCCAAGGGCAATCCCTTGCACCTCTTCACAATCTGTACACCAAATTCTTTTAAGTTCGGATGCCCACTAAAATCTTTTGCTCCTAATGCATGTTGAGTTAATATAGAAAAGCAATCACCATCTGACAACTCTGGCAGCTTGTAACCTGGGATAGTACCCACCATTAATGAAACACTGTCACCACGTGTTGTCACAACAATCGTAGCTCCTATGCCAAAAGGGGATATTAGACGAGTCCAGTCATCATAGTTTTCATGCCAAAGATCATCCAAAATCAGAAGTAGTTTTTTTCCCTCCAGCTTCTTCTTCAGTTTTATTTGAAGGTTATTCAAATCATCTCCAACATTAAAAGATTCAGGACTAACTGATTGCAAAATTGATTTCGTTATCTCCTCCATCTTAAACTCGTCAGAAACACATACCCATGCTTGAAAATCAAAATGCTTAACTACACGCCTATCATTGTGGACAAGCTGAGCAAGCGTTGTTTTGCCAGTCCCTCCTTTGCCAATGATCGGAATCACAGAAAATTTATTGCTATCATCACTCCCAAAAATCAAGTCAAGGATTGTTTCCTTGTCTTTTTCCCGACCGTAGACTTGAGTTTCATTCACCAAACAAGTGGTTGATCGCCATCCCAATGTTCTCTTGGGCCTCCCACCACCATTTTTCGCCAAAGCCAAGAGACTTATATCTACTTCTAAATCTTGAAATCTAGCAGTGATCTCTTTTATCTCGGTCATCATTTCCTTATTAAATGATAAATTGTTACCCCTGAACCAGGTAAAGATAGCATCAACAAGCTTTTGTAACTTCCATGGGCGGTGATCTTGATTTTCCCTCGTTAACTTGAGTCTCAAAGCTTCAGTAACATACTTATCCAATATGTCATCCACATCGTATGCCAAGTCTTGGAGCTGGACCAACCAACTCTTCACATGCCCATCATTCATTTCCTTCTCCTCAGCATCATTTAGCACTGCATGAATATTGCGCAATGTCTTTTCCAGCTTCTTGAGCTCCCCGCAAACTTCCTTCTCAGTTACAAAGTTGAGAAACTCAGAAGAGGCCAAATTACTAAACAACCCTTCAAAGAAAACAGATAAAGCAGCTTCAACGACGGACATGGCTTTTGACCTGCAAAAACAGAGAGATTATGTGTAAAAATCATATAGGGATAAACTCAAAAAGACTTGAACTAGAAGTAGAACACAACCAACAACCCCACCAATACTGAATCTGATCTTGGTATATTTCTCTGTGGCTTATATCTTCGCGGCAATTTTTTCTAATACTCCTATTACTAATTAAGAAAGTTAATGGACTCCTTAATAAGATTATTTTGTTAGTGAGTTGTTACGGTTCACATGGTTCTACGATAAAAAAATCAACAAAGGTTAGGCAAATTTTAGATAAAATTTTTTTTGGTGAAATTCGTGACTAATGTATCCTCTGTTAGGTTTTTGTTCTGTATTCATATTTATTTCTATATATTCTAGTTTTTCTAATTGTATGCACAATATATAATTCAAAAGCATTATTTGATTTTTTTTTTATGACTAATAATTCCTTCTCATTAATATGGTAATTCTGTTCTTTTAGAGTACATGTTCCACAAGTATATCTGGGTATCATCTTCTTCAATATATTTTAATATACCTTCTAAAATTTTAATATCTTTTTTATAAATTGATTAAATTGTTGGATGTTGACATAAGTACATCACCCACACTAATGATTTGCCTAATCCTATGATGGTTGGATTCCTAAATTTTGTGCCCCCACGTGTTGTGTAGTTTGCCTTAAAGTTTTGATTATTATTCCAATCAGACTATTTATTCGTTTATAGATTAAAATTGAAATATCAAGAACGTTAGGTAATGTATTTATTTTTTTTCAAATTTTTTTTTAGAAATTAAAACCAAAATCGTGATTTGTAACTTGCAAGGTGTTTTCAAAAACTAAAAATAAAATTTAAAATTTTTTTGAAAATTATTAAAAGTACAAAAATAATATTTCTAATATTTTGAAAATATTTTTGACATTATTATCATAAATATTATTTATCTGTTCGATTATAATGCTCGTTAGAGTGAAATTTTTGATGTTTGAAAATTAAAAAATATATATTATTAATAAGATTTAAGCTTACAATTTAAAATTTTAATCACTTTCTTTAATAAATTTCTCTTCTCAAATTTTTGGAAAAAAATTATATCAAAACACGTTTTAAAATTTAATAAAATGATAAAAACTAAAATAAAATATTCAAAAACAAAAAATTGGCAACTATACAAAACCACCCTATATCAAAATTCCAACTTTTTTTTCCTTAAAGTAAATGTACTTGTGTTGATTTGACATAAGGGTAAATCCATTTTTACTAGCAATTGGCTGACAAAGAAAAAAGTAGACCATATATCAGAAAAAAAAAATGTATCAAGCAAACTTTAAAAAGCTTTAAAAGGGTGAAAATCTTTGATCTACCAATAATAGCAAACAAATTGGAACTCTGAAATCTGAAAAGAAAAACCACTTTTTATAACACTCTGTTATCAAATGTTGAAAGTACCCATTTAATCTGAGATTTTAAATTTCAAAAGTTTTTGTTTAACTTTTAATTGGACTATAAACTGATCAATTTAAGTCCGAATTATTATTTGTCTCTAATTAGTAACTTTGGGTTTTAGTCGATTAATAGGGCTAACCAATAGTCCATTCTCCCTTCTTATAATAAACCATTTTATTTTATTTCCCCTCTTATATCTTTTATCAAATTTTTATATATTTTATTATTTTTAAACAATTGAAACAAAAATAAAAATAAAATAAATACAAAAAATTGAAAAATAAAAAAATAATTATGAAAATCTGGATAAACAAAAGTAGATAAATCATAAAATTTTTAAAGAAATATCCTAAAAAACAAGAATCAAATCATTGATTGGGCATCTCTTTCTTTTTAGATGCAACACTTTTTTTTGCCTCATTTCTTTCAAGTTTTTCATCTTAATTGCATTTTTTGTTATCTCTTTGGAAATTATTTTATCGGTAGAATTAGTTTATATTATCTTTAATAGCCTTAAAATAATATCTATAATAAACATTTTTCATTACTTTTTTATTATTTTATTATTTAAATATTAAAAATTTTTAATTTTTCATTTTAATAGCCTTAAAATTTGATTCTTGTTTGTCCCTCTTTGAGAAAGTCAATTCTAAACCTCCTCCAAAATTTTTCTTAAAATCTAGAGGAAATCTCATCATCTCTCTCATTTCGAACCTCCAAAACACCTTCCTTATCCATCCATAACCACCGAAGTAGCCTAAAACCCTGGTCAAAGCTTCCGACTTATTACAAACCTCTAACTTTTGTGAAAACCTTGAAAAATCTAATCTGTCATAGTCTGTCAATAAGCATACCCTACTGTCACTCACCACATCACCTTGCCTTGTCACCTAAATCCACATCACTAGGCATATCATCCAACCACATCATCTCAGCTATATCACCTTTCCAAATCCAACCAAAACTCTATCTATGGTCAAAGTCCAACCAAAACTCTGTCCAAAAAGTCCAATCAAATCAAAACTCTACTCAAAGAGTCTTAATCCAATCAAAACTCAACCTTAAAAGCTACTGTTTTACCAAAACACTCTAAAAGAGTCCCGACACCCAAATTTTGTTCGAAGAGTACATGTCAGACTAAAATTCTTTCAAAGGGCTAAGATTCTTTCAAAAGGCTTAATCTACCTCAAGCTCGATCTTAACCCATAAAGTTATAGTCAAGATGAAACACAGCTACACTAAACCCAACTCACAACCCCAGACCTATAGTTGTCCTATTGGATCTTGTATTAGGACAATCTTCTCAGGTATAATTCTTAAAATCTTTAGACATCTTAGACCTCTTATTAAATTACGTGCAAGTGACATCCTCCATGACCAAATATCATCTAGTCTTAGGCACACATAACGCAAACCATTTAGTTATAATTAGGACTTATTTTCTAGTTAAAGACAGTGAAAATTTTTGCAACGGAAACTCATGTCTAGCATGTGATGTAAAATCTTGTCACATAGATTAGAAATAAAACGATATGTTCTAAATATGCCCTTGAGGCATCTTATTGAACTATCATCTAAGTATGTCATTTATAAAAGATCACATTACATGTTTCTTTGGTTAGTCTTTATTGTCTTTGCAATAGAACGGAATGAACTACTTGATTTTAATACAATTGTTTGACAACACATTGTTTGCATCATTTAATGATTGATAAAAAACTCAAGGTTGTCATCCTACAAGTATTTTTCTAGATGCATACGTGACAACACGAAACATATAAATAGTTTATACAAATTGCTTGTCATCAAGAATAAAAAGGAAAGGCATGCTCTTTAATCCATAAGCAAGTCAAGATGTTGGTTTGACATGGATAAGTAAAGGCTAGGCTTATCTCTAACAAGGTTTAGAGCATTGATTCCTCTAATATCTTGTTTACTATTTTTGAATTAAATTTTTTGATTAAAATGATTGTTACCTTGAAATCAGTATTGATTCCTAAAATATAAATAAATTGATTGACAATTCATAATCAAATCTTAGTTCTCAACATTGAAAAGAGGTGAAACCCGCATCGCTCACATCTTTGTTTAAAAGAGCATTTAAAATAATGAAAAAATAAATAAAGTTTTAAAGTTCTTCAGACAAACGTAATAATTGTCTATGTTTTCACACAATTTCTGTTTCATAAAAAATATGCAATGATAAGCAATTATAGACACACAATTTAATCCAATGATTAAATTTTAAGAAATTCAAAAGTGTTCAATTTTTTAAAAAAATTTCTAAGTGAAAACTTTTCTAAATTTCATCAAAATGTTGGAGAATTTAGAATATTATTTCAATATTACGAATTTTCATTTATTTCTATAAATAAAAATGAACAAATTAAATTGATAGAAAATTAATTGATAAAATAAAAAAGGGATAGAAGAGCTAAAAATGTAATAGATAATTGTAAATGTATTTTATCACATAATACTTAATAAATTTTGGAGTAAGTGGGGAATTTAACTGGTTATGAAATTTTAAGAAAGTTAGAGCATGAAATTTTTTTAAAATTTTTTATGTGAGTAAACAATTTAAAAAGATTAGAATATCAAAGATTTCCACTTTATTTCCAAAATAACAAAATTAAAGGAAAAATGATGAAACCTCTTATAAGAAACGAACATATTTTCTTAAGATCTATTGAAGTGAAAAAACTATTTAGAGGTTCGATCAAAGTGTTAAAGAAAACATAAGAAAAATTTTATATTTAAATAATAAATAAAGTAATGAGAAATATAAGAATAGATACCAATTTAATTAAGACTATTAAAGACAATATAAGATTAATTGATATCATCTTTTGAATGGTCACTGTGAGAATGTTAATTACATCCCTATAAACTTAATTCTGTAATGTAAACCAAAACTTATTCTTTTAAGATCTTTTAGTCAAACTTAAAATCATTTTAAAAGAATAAATTTATTTAAGTAATCAATCACACCTAATCAAAAAAATTTTGATAATTACTTTATTAATATTTAGTGATCAAATTCACAAATTCTCATGTTATAACAGATATAATCATCATTGGTTTAATAATTATAATATTGCTTACTAATTGAAAAGAGAATTTCTCAATATAGACAGGGAAAAATGATTATTCTGATCTTTAATGATTTTGAAGCAAGAAGACTTGGATCTTATGAATTACATTGGGGTCGATAGTTATCGTTTCTCCATTTCATGGGTAAAAATTCCATCAAGTGAGTTTTATTTCTTCAAAATAAATGTGTTTGATATGATTCTCATGCTGATTTTTTACTCTCAAAATTAATTTATCCAAAGTGAAGAGATTTGGAAGCGTTAATATAGTTAGCATCAATTTTTATAATACGCTCATAACCTGAAGAAGAGGAAAAATAGCTCTTCGATCAAAAGAAATTTTGCCGTTAACTCCTAAATTTCTTGCTACACGAGTTAAGTCCGAAAATTTAGAAGAATGAATTCCAATAGCTCCTCTTCTGGTAGCAATGATACCTGATGTATACTAAAAATTTAAACGTAATAGTCAGAGATAAGTATTCAAAATTTCAAAGCATAAAGCAAAATATGTGTTCAGCAAGCATTACAAAATAAAACAGTAACAAGAACTTGATGAAGAGGAAAAAAGCTTCTCGCATAAAAGAAATTATGTCGTTAACTCCTAAATCTCCTCGTCCAAAATTTAGGTCAGAATAGATATTGCCGACTCGTGAAGAAAGTAGAATTTCACGGTCGTACGTACTCAGAAAGAAAATGAAGTTTGCCGCTCATTTATAATGACATACAGCTGTTAAGATAAGGGAAAATCGATTATTTAAATATCTTATGTAAGCAATGATGTAAAAAGTTCTATTTTAAATGGCTATATTAATTTAAAATTTAATTTAATTAATTTATAAAACTATTTTTAAAAAATAACACTCAAAACATTTTTTTAATTTCAAACGACAACTTTTTTTATAAAAAATTTTGTTTATATTTGGAATTTATACAGTTAATTTTTTTGTGAAAAAAATTTTAAAAATAAGAGAAATTATTTAAAGTTAGCCGATAATCTATAAAAAAAATTACGAATCATTTAAGATTTTTTGAATTTACAAACTATCTATCAATAAAAGATTATAAAAATTAAATTTTAAATATTTTATATTTATATTTTAAATTTTAATCACTTATATGAATCTCTATTTTATATTAATACAGTTAATTTATATTTACATAAACTCGATTGTGACAATTTCATTAAAATAA